GTTATTAGAATTGGGTCTCAAAAGGACAAATTGTGAGTGGCAACTTATCATATATTGATACCAATTGATGAACACTATTATTGGCTTAAGAAGTATTTTTATTATTATTACTGCAATATTGATTGTGAAAGAAAGTAAGAAAATTGAATAGGAAAAATGGAAACGAAGTAAGTGGTGTATGTATTCAGAGAGTAAGAAATGATTGATTGCATCAGATATTGAGCATTTGAAAGGACTTGTGGATGATTTATATGATAAAGTTGATTACATTTAATTGTAATGAATCTAAGCGAAGGTTTCACGTAATATTATGGTTTATAAGATAAGGTACAAATATAATGGGTTGTCGGCAAAAATTATAAGACTGGTAAGTGAGTTAGCAAAAAATGAGAACTTATTTTTTTGGTGTATTGAAGAGTTAAAGTTATTTGAAATTTCCATCATGGAGAGAATTTAAGAAAGGCGAAGGAACAATAAGACCTCTAGCATAAACCTTAGATTCAGAGTTGATGGTTGTGGTGATTTTCGCCTATGAGTTTAGATATGACTATGAGATGTGAACTAGTTCGACACCTATTTACTATGGATTTATTTTTTTTAATTTTATAAATATTGAGTTTTGTTTTGGGTGATAAGAAAAGATGTGGTTATGTTGAGCTAGTTTATTCAAATTATGATAGGTAACTTATGGACGTTCAACTGCATGAACTTACAATTCTACATTGTTATTGAGAATTTTTTAGGGATTGAAACTACTTTGTTAAAGAGGCGATATATACTGTCATGATGTGTTACCTATGCATTTGATGGTGTGTAGAGGTTATGAGCTTATAGTAAATAGAATTATTAAAGTGACCAAGAACATTTTTTTATTTTTTTTACATGAGATACATACTGGTATGATTGGTAGTTGGAAAGTTGTATGTGAAAGTTCACATAAATTTGACATTCGGCTCAATTCAATTATTATTCCCCGATGGAAAAGTATTTATTGATTTGAAATTAGTGATATCAGTCTTAAGTGTGACTAATATTTGTCATGTAGTGCTTAAATCGAACGAGAGAATGACTGACATATTTTGAAATTTTTAGAGGCTACAAGGTGTTTTCTAAGGAGACTTCAATAATAGTGATAAATATAGAGTAAGGTAAATGGTTTGTGTAATTATGATTTTTGTTGGTATTAAGTTGTTTCAATTAAGTACTATTAAAAGTATGTGGGGTTTGATGAATCGAGTATTTGTAATGTTGTGATGGGAATTTGATTGGTTGATTGTGGGTGGGTAATGACCGAGAGATGATTTAGATGAATGAAACTATTTTATATATATATATATATATATATATATATGGGTCGGTCCTATGAAAGAAGTATTAAGTCTCATTTGACTTTTGTTCTGTATATTTTTATATGACCATCTACTTCGTTTTGGAAATGGTTTGGAGTGTGATTTACTACACATACCTACACATATTTTCATATTTATGGGTGAATTTCTAGTGGTGGATTGGGTGTACTGGTCCTATGATTATCCTCTTGGTAGAGTGACATCTGTAGTGAGACTTGGTCATTTCAGTTAGTTAAGATTTGATATTATTTGGGATAGTTGAAGTATGCTAGTGATTGTACACATACAACCTTGCTTATGAGAACTCATTTAAAAGTTCTGAAGAGTTACAATTGTATAAAAGTGTTGTTAGAGGCTCTACATTTTGGAGTGTATCGCTCGTTCGGTGTTTATTTGATCTTAAACTTCTTTGGGTTAGATAAGTTTAATTCTCCCTTGATGAGTACTCGATGTCTAAAGATCAAATTTTTATGACTTATGTTCATGAGATGAATATGTTGTGAGAAAGGAATCTTGAAAAGATTGTGATGGTTTTAGCAATATGACGGTTTAGTGGTTGATACAGGTTCGCTGTTACTTTTAATCTGTATTGATTCAGAATTCTCTCGTAGTGATGTGAGAATTGGTTCATCCTGATGGTGTGTTGTTTGGAGGATTTTTGTTCAATTTTGGGTTCACAGGTTAGTCAATGGTATGTTAATCAATCTTGATATGTGAATCAGTTAGATTTTGATTCGACAGTTTAGTTCTTAGTAGTTGATCTTGATGCAATGGTCTTAAGGAGGAGCTCACTTTGAGAGATAAATATTGACTATGGAAATTATATCTCAGGTTTTGGTAATGTCAACTATTCATCCTTCTTCTTCTTTATATTCGAGAAAGAACATGATTTTTAGTGGTGAATAATGTAATGACCCAGACAATTATTTTTGGAAATTTTAAAGCTATTTGTTAATTACGATTGTTTTATTGACGGGTGATTTTAAATAATTATTTTTTTATTTATAGCTAATGGGTAACTCCATAATTTACTTAAAATTGTACGGTATTTGGCCGATATATATATACTAAAATAAATTAGTAAGTTAACAATTATATATTTTTAAAAAAAATATTTTTACTCAAAAAGCAAAAGAAGTATAGAATGAAAAATATTTGTGCGGCACTGATAAGAAGAAAACGACTAACTGGTATGTAAATCTTCATGATTTGTGCCTGCATACATTTATCTTATTGCCGCATCTATATAATATTACTCATTTTTGTATTAAATGAGATTGAATGAAGTTTTAAAGTTGACCTAGTAATGTTTTTCGGTGGGTTTTGTCAAATTAGTGCAAAATATAGTGCAATCTTCATTAAATTGATATGGAATTTATTGGACATTAGAGTAAATAATTGGTTGCACATAAAGTTACTGGAAATTTTAAATTTTTGGTGTTACATCGGTCAATGTTGGCAACTTCATAGCGTTTAGGTTCCTGACACGGTGACACTAATTAATCCAAATTGTGTTGAAAAGTTTCTTACGGTTATCATATTATTATTCAAAGCTTGATATATTAAGATAGGTAATTAAATATTAAGGCTATTCTATTATATGATACTAGTAGAGTGATGTTATTTGGAGTATAATACTTAACCCTAGAATTAATATTTGGAAAACATGAGAATTGTCATGTTACTTGGAAATAAATTAGGAACTTGATTATAGATTAAGGTGAGTTTTTGGGTCTAATTTAGACATATTGTATGAGTGTTTTTATTTTCAAAATCTTAGTGTGTTCATTTATTTGAATAGATTGCTTTGAGTTGGAAGTTCAGCGAAATGGGAACGTTCAAGTCCCAGAACAATTGTTCGACTATTCGAGGCAAGTGAATTTCTAAACTCTTGTTAAGTGTATGGAATGTGCGTATTTCTTTGTGGTATATGTGTGTGAGTAATGAGACTTGGTTATAGATTGATTTGTCCACATTGAACAATTCTAGTGATGAAAACAAAGGGTCATAAAAGGAAATGTGAATAATTGCTTGTGTGTGATGTGTTGATAATAAAGAATGGTTTTAAAAGTTTGTTGAATCATTGTTGATGTCGTTGCGAATTGTGCAGTGTTGTGAAAATGGTCATATCCTCTTTATTTGTATGAACATGTCATTTGCATTATTTTAAGACGTGGTTGTAACAAGTGTTATGTCCATTAAGAAAGAATGAGAACTTAAAGAGGATGTACCATTTTAAGGGACATATCGCGCGCCGCGATGCATACTATATTTCGAGGGACGTATCGCGCGCCACGATGGTTACTATTATCGAGGGTCGTGTCGTGCGCTGCGACAGATGCATGGACAGATATGTCCTCCATGGGTCCCGAGATGAGATACATCGGGTGTATATCACTAGGTTAGACATGCATCATTATACTTGACATTGCATTCCATTGAATTGCACATACTTATCGTTAGTGAACTTTATATCGTGTTTTGCTGATCTTTTGATTGCCTTTCTGCTGAACTAGTGATTGATCAATAGTTAGCTTGTTATTGCGGATATATAATTTGTTGAAGTATTTGTTGAGGATATGTAATTTGTTGAAGTGTTGTTGTTGAAGATATGTAATTAGTCTAAGTGTTGTTGTTGAGCTACGTGCTATGTAAATTATGAGCTGTTAGGTTAGGTTGATTTTAATGTAGGTTGTAGTTGTGGAGGTTCGGTTGGGGGTGGTAGGAGTACCCGTATTTCATCCCCTTAGCTTGTGTTTAGAGGTTTACTTGCTGAGTACCGTGTGGTTTTGTACTCACCCCTTGCGTCTATAAACTTTTGTAGGTTATGAGCCTGGATTTTTGTTGTTCTTGTCATTCTCTTCTTTTCCGAGGCTTCTTGGAGATTTGTGAGGTAGCAGTTTCCATCTCAGCAGACTTTCTTCTCCTTAATTATGATCTTATTCTGTTTTTAGAAACAAGTTCATTTGAGACTTGAGTTTTTCTTTTGAATCAATTCGAATAGTTTAGAGGCTTGTACATGTGACTACCAGGTTTTTGGGGTTTTCTTAAGTTACTTATATTTTATATCCGCACTTAATGGTAATGGTTGAGTTTTAGGCTGACTTGTCTATATGGGATAAGACGAGTGCCATCACGCCCATTTTTGGATCGTGACAATAAGTCTTTAAATATCATTTTAAACATTATTAAGTAAATTAAGTTAGTCTAAGTCATGGTATTTTTAGAGTGTTACAGGGGGAAAGAATATCGACTATTCAAAATTAAGAAATAAATTTAATGTTTCAAATAAAGTCGAAAGATGTAAAAACTATTTTTTCATTAATAGAAGTACAAAATAGTTTTATAACTCTATCCACCAAATTATGCATTTGATAGCGTATTCTTTATTGATTATCATTTATCAAAATCACATCATTAAGCATGTTTATATCAATAGTATAAAAATTATTTCATTTTATGGTTAGAATAGATAAGATATTAATAAATATTTAAATAGTGATTACAAACTTAATTACATTGAAGTAGTAATAATTAACGAGATAAGAACATCATATAATATTAAATATTTAGCAAATTTGCAATATATAAAAATAAAAAGATAAATAAAATTGCATAAAGTTAAGAAAAGAAAAAAAGTAAAGATCCAAACGTGATAAGTAACCCAAAATATGCAACTTTTCTTCTTATATCCTACGCAACTTTCAAATTCAGATCCAAAGGAGGAGTCAACTCTGTTTCTTTCTCCTTCACGCTATCAACAAATCAAGCATTTCCCCCTTAATTCATCATTGCTTCCTCATTCATCACCATTTTCTCTCTCCAAACTTCACCTAGGTACACTCTCTCGCTCTCTCTAAAGGTTTTTTCAAGTGGATCTCCAGATTTGTATTTGTATTATATTGTAAATCGTTTGATTTAGTTATAATTTTAGTGTTTTGTTGTTGGCAGGCAAAAAAGGGAGGTGTGATTTTTTACCAATGGCGACTGTGCAAATGTTTTCCTTCACAATTCTCTTTGCTGTTTTGCTTGTTCAACAATGTATTTGTACAGATCCGCCTGCAAGTTCACCAAGTCCTGCACCGGAATCTGGCGCTGATGTAGCTTCTCCACCAATGAGTCTAGCTCCATCGCCTTCACCAAGTCTATCTTCTCCGCCGGCACCTCCACTGTCAGATCTCTCTCGAAATTCATCTCCGGCGCCGTCACCGGGTGATTCTACGTCTAAAAATTCCCTATCGCCGGCTCCAAATTCCAAAGCTGCGAGTGATATTAGCGATGAGAGTGTAGATTCATCGAAGGAATCATCTGGTGGTGGAATGACGAGTGGAAAGAAGGCTGGAATAGCAGTCGGAGTGATCGCTGCAGTTTGTTTTGTAGGTATCGGTGCATTGGTGTACAAGAAGCGACAACAAAATATCCAACGATCTCAGTTCGGGTATGATGCTAGGAGAGAAATTCTTTGAATGGATCTATATATCTTCATATGCAAATCAGTTCATATAGTATACAGATGTATATAAGTTTACTGCTTCATGATTAGATTTGTTGCATTTAGAATTTCTACAACATTTTCATTAGATTCATTTGATTCTTTACCCACTGGATTCATTAGTTCTTTCTGCTATTGGAGATTTAAGTTTTGCTATTGATTTTGCAATTCGTTTTGATTTTGCCACTTGCTTGGAAATTTTCAACAAACGGAATCTGCAAAATTGTTTTTGCAAAAACTCATTTTCTTGAGTTGTTTTTGTAAAATAAGTTTAAACTATGTTTTGTTTTTGAACTTTCATAAAATATGCTATTTGCTAATGGTTGTTTTGTTCTTTCTTTTACACTCATATATGAAATGAGAAAATGCAATTTATATTTACGTTTTATTATTCTTTATGCATTGCCAGTATGTCTCACATACCATTGTTGTTTAAAACAAAAACAAAAATAAAAAATGAGTTGGTAGTTGGTGGAATGATTTTGAGGAATAAATGTATTTGACCAATATTGTATGTAAGAGTGAATGAAATAGGTGTGTTTCAGAGTAAAAGCCACAGTGGCCTCAATGGAAGTTACAACACATGTGAATTGAGAATAGTAGGCCATAAAAGTTATATATATTTTACACCAAATAATATGAGTGCTTTGTGTGTGTGTGGGGGGAGGGGGGGGGGGGGGGGGGATGAATTTGTGGTGCAAGTGTTGGTTGTGGGCTGGCAATAGGCGTTGTCCTATTCATATCACGTTATTTTGTTTATACTGTATTAACAATAACGTTTGTTGTGGTTGTGATTGCTTTTTTTTTAATTTTATTCAACAAATTTCTTGCTTGCTCATTAGATAAAAGGTTATGAAATTGTCGGTGCGTCTTTTTCATTCAAACGTCAATACAGTTTTACTGGGAGTAAATATATAAAATTGTAATCAAGTATAATATGCGTAAAATATAAATCATTTTCACCCTCAATTTTGGATTTTAAAATAAACCCTTACCCCCCTCCAGCCCCTCCCCCCTCAATTTTGAACAATAATCAAACTTCCCCTTTCCTCCTAATTAAAATTTTATATTGACTATTATAGCCGTTTATAATCAACTTCTTTTAAATTCTTTAAAAGTCATAATATATGCTTTTTAAAAAAAGAAAATTCACGTAAACTTAAGATGAATATATAATTTAAATCAACCTCTGCCATCAATTATTATACAGTATATATGACATGAATCTATAAGGCCATTGAACATTACTTGACCTAATTATATTTAATCGGGTCTTTATCCGAATTGTTGGTAATAAATGGTATAACTACAAGCTAATTACTTTTGAATTTCTTCATTTTATTTTTGTTTTTGTTTTTTTGTTTAAATTTATTTTTATTTCTATTTTTTTTTATTATTCTAAAATTTACTGAAAGTTTATTTTTTATATTTAATTTCCTTCTCATTCTCAACATTTACTTCATGTGATTCCATGCAACTTTTGGTATTATCTATTTTTTATGTCATGCTTATATTTTTTTACAACTTATGTTTTTCATTTATTTTAAATCATATTTCTGTATGGTATGTTGAAATTTGACATAATAGTAATTTGTTTCGAATTTAGAACATATGTTGTATTTTCAGTTTCATTTGTTGTAGTAACTTTGACTTGAAACTTCACATTACAAGTCATTTATTTTTTAGTTAGATTTGATGGATGTCACGACCCAAAATGGGTCATGAGAAGCACCAATATTTAACCTTCTATATGAGCGAATCAACGAATTCAAAATTCAATTTATATTAGTTATTCAACTTATGAAATACGATAATAATCACTACTAAAAACTGCCAAAAAGGACGGACAAAAGCGACGAAGTGCGTCAAGTGACAGACAACCTCTCTTTTTGACCCTTTTTTTTAAAAAAAAAATTAACAAAAGTGTCAGACTCCGTCACTTTATTTTAATTATCATTTTTTATCTCTAAAATGCGACGCCATCTATCACTCTGTTAATAATTTTAAAATTTTTTCAAAAAAGCCACGGACAAAAGGACTTTGCCTGTCGCTTTTTCTGGGTTTTAAAAAGACATTGCCTGTCGCTTTTCTTGAATTTAAAAAAAAACCAAAAATGCAACGGGCAAACCCACGTTGTCCGTTGCTTTTCATGCATTATTTTTTTACAACAGAAACCAACAGTTTATGCCACCCACCTACAAATAAAATTCAATTCTACACAGCCCGATCAAACACACTTAATTTTAAATAATATAAACAAAACTTAAAATAATATTCAAAATTATCTGAATCACAAATTGAAGACTTATAAAGTCTTTCAAAATTCATTTCAAAATTAAAAAAAGCTCATAAATGTCCAAAGACCTAAACTATTGAGTATTTCCTATATAATCATCCTCATCAGTCTCGTTGTCGGTGTCATGGGGAGCTGAAGTAGTTGGTTGACGAGATAGGTTCATGGAGTATCTCTATAGTGATTGGTAAGTGAGGAGCATTTGGGAAGCTAGACTTGGATCGTAGCATCATTCAAGTGAAGTTGAAGTATTTCCTTATATTTGACTCAAGGGCGTAGATGTATTTTATCTCGTATCGAAGTATTGTATTAAACTAAGTATTTCTATATTCGTATTTTATGGGCCGTGTCACAAATTATTCTCGTGTTTAAGATTTTATGAAATGAGACTTAATATTTCCTATGAGTTTTATATGAAAGATAATTTTAAAGACTTACAGAATGTTTATAAAAAGTTTTAATTCCGTATTACTTTTCATATGTTTCTATGCGATGACCGATACGGAAGGGCTTGTACATACCTCCTAGAGGTCGAGTACGCCGGTTGCATTCTGAGAATGTTATATCTTCTAGGGTGTGGTTTCGTAGGTCATAGGTATTTCTCTTGTATAATTATCATCATCATATTTCAATAAGAATTGTATGAGTATTATACTTTCATTATAATTCATATAAGTGAGTTTAGCACATTTACATAGTCACATCATGCCAACCCTATCTACATTAATATAAGGTCTACTTCAATACAACATAACTATTTAAGCACAAGTAACCATAATCGAAGTAAAAAATAGAGATTACAAGACTTACTCAATCCACTTCATAATGCCTTTATCAAAGTCTTATGATCAACCTTCAATTTAACCCAACAAATGGTATAATAGCATCACATAATATTAATCAACATTATAATAAGACCAACTGAATCATTATACAAAAATTCATCACTAGTTTATAACCTAGAATTTAAGACCTAGATCAAGTTTATAGTCTATTTCACCGTCTAAGTGAATTACTCAAGAACTAGCATGGTAGTACTACAATTCATTTCAATATACATAAATTGTCACAATAAAATCATAGGATAGTAATTTACATTTTAACCAAGCCAATTACATCAATACTAGATAGTTCAATTCAAGATCACAACGTAGGGTTAAGGGGAATAGATCATCTTCTACAAACTAGACACATCAATCAAGAAATAACATTATTGAGTTATAATACATGTTAATACAATCATAATATTCAAAATTTATTATTAACAAAGCAATCCACCTGATCAATGCCACATGAAAACTCATCTTTTGAAATCAATTTGAAGGAACCCCTTAGAGAAAGAAGTCCCAGAGGTGAAAGGAATCACATACCTTGTTGATCGATGAAGTTTAATGGGGAAAATTTGTTCTTTATCAGTCCTATAACCCATTGAATTTGACCTTCTATGGTGTTCTTAAACTTGGGAGAGATAAAGAAGAGAGAAGGAGGAGAATTCGGGTTTGAGAATTATGAGGGCTTAGGTTAGTTTAACTAGCTTAGGGTCATTATATAGGTCAATATATAACCTAATTAGACCTCCCTTAACCCCTAACTAATTGTCTAACAACCTAATTAATTAATTAATTCGCCTCACGACGAGCTGCAAAACCAGTCCCTCACAGACGAGACCACGACAAACGGTCTATTTGTCAAACGACGGCCAAGGGACCAACCGTCCTATTGGTCCGTCGTTTAGTTAGAAGACTTATTAAAAAATCCTCCCATGAATTTGTCTAAGTGTTCATCGACAGTGTCCATCAACGCCCCGCCGATTGACACACGTTCCGTTATTGGCACTCGTTTGTGCCTAGTTCTTTTTGGCAAATTTGGCCAAAATGCAAGGGTCCTCCTCAAGGGCCCTTGTTTGGTCCTTGGGGAGTCGTACCCGGACGTTTTAAGTATAAACTTACTCTAATATGTTTTAGACACCCTTCCAGCAAAATTCATCTTTTTCTAACTCCTAAAACTTAGTCAAATCGGCTAAGTCACACTTGCACCTCATTGAACTAGTTTTTGAATGTCATGGACGTTCCTTGACATTTTGATTCCTAAACTTCCTAAATGACTTATATACATTAAAATTGACCTTAAAATAGTGAATAAAACTTTTGACACCTATTTTAGGCTCTAGAACATGTCTTAGACTTTCAGAGTATTACACTGGTCATGCACATTTCAGGAGGAAGATTATATGGAGTAAGAAAAATCGGCCAACATGAATAAGGCAAAGTTGCGTGGTGTAAAGCCATCTGAACACAAACCCAATCTAACATTTCCTAGTTAAATAGCAAAATCAGGATATGCATTATCGAAATTTTTCCATGCTAAACCATCATATGGATGAGATAATACGCCCAACGACCTTATATATTCACGATGTCATCTCATAGGTGGGGGCAAACCTAATCTATGCATACAACCTCTTTAACCTAGGAATCAGAGGTAGATAATGCATAGCCTGAACTGGGACCATCTTTCCAGCCGGAGTCGTCTTATAACAAGCATGTCCTAAAACTTGCAATTTTCTGATATACTATGAGTTTTGTAAAACAACATACAACCATTAACACAACAATAAATTCTATCATACGTTAATCCTAACTTGGACACCAAACGCTTTGCCTGATAGAAATTCTTTGGTATGTTAAACTCCAGGTTAACTAGTTCACCTAAAAGATTATCCATTGAGTCCATTGCCGCATTAGGAACATTCCAATATGATTTAGTATTCATTAACTTAACCACAAATGACAAGGCATAATGCAGACTACCTTCACATAGTGGACGAGTAAACTATTCCAGTTCCATACCACCTTGAACCCAGAAAACATCATTG